CTATCGTCGAATACTGTTCGTTCTTATTTTCCAACCTACGCCTATCCGATGTACTTAAGATGGAAGTAATACAACGATATTTCAACCGCAATATACTTAAGAACAACTTATTCATTACCTACTATTCCTGATGCCATATCATAGGACTAGAACCCTCTTTGAAAAGAGAGCTTAGGTCTAATTTGACTCTCTACCTCAAACCCTCCAAAAACCTTACTTTTTCCACATGTAATATAGTTCTTGCTCAAGATTCACATGAACACGACATTCGGGACAAAGTATCTACGGTTAAAGTTGAGAAACACAAATAAAAAACTGGTAAACTTCTTCTTCATGGAGTGTGCATTAATATGGAACAGTCTTCCCTCTGAAATGCGCATGGCAGATAAATTACATACGTTTGTGAGACTTAAAGATCGAGCCTTCGCTTGCACTGGTCTAGCACGATCGAACACATCTGGGTCCCACTCAGACATCATAGGATCTCTACAGGTATAGACCAAATTAGATTAAAAGTTCGGTTTGTCTAACGTTCCTACTGTTCAGTTATGTTGGATACTTTTCCTTCTTTATTTTTTTAATTGGACCGGACAGGTAACTCACTGGGCCTGTAGTGTCATTGGACCATAACCACACAATCCTCAAAGCTGAATACGAAATTACTCGGAAAATAGATATTCAATATTTAACGCAGAAAAATACCTAACGATGGAGAAGGCGCGAATAAGGAATTGAATGAGTTGGAATTGATCGAATGGCATGGCTCGGCAATGCAGGCGTGGTCCCTGTTATCTTATATCTTTTAACCATATTAAATATATTGTCCTATCTCTAGCCTGGGCTTGTTCTCCATCATGTATTGGTAATTGTTGTGATGCAATAAGTTGGTGTAGACGATGATGTGACTTCCACGTAAGATCTTATAGATCAGGCAGTTATATCATGACAAATCTACAATTTTAGGATGAGGTCTATTATTAGAGCAGTACTAATATCATAGCAGACCATAATTCTACAGGCCTATCGATGCTGCTCAACTAAACTTGGTTACTAAGGAACGCTCTCTACCACCATAAAAAGTCAAAAGAACCGCACAATTTACCGCCCGCTACCAGTGGTCTTGCATCTATGGAGCCTAAAACCCATCAACCGGTTAGGATAGCATAAAATAGCAATATCACCAAGTTAACATGAGTTCCTCCTTGCTTATTCATTATCAGATTTTTACTCTGCTGTACACTATATTGACTTGCCATTAATTTTGTTTCGACACTTGTTACCTTATCTACTTTTCTGCCTACTTTGGTAAACAACTATCCTAGAATATACCCTTCTTCTTAAGCCTATACTCTGATTAGAAACCTATGCTTTATACCATAGTCAGTTAAAACATTGTATCGATGCCTTACCCATAGTCCATAATTCGTGAATGCCTGATAAGTTTGTGAAATGGTTCCTATAAAAATAATGTTTTGCAACAATGTGTGAAACACAGAGCGTCGCATGAGGCGTGATATCCGAGGAGAGCTTAAATAAGGCTAACATCACAAAAGGAGGGAGGGTAAAGTTGCTGACCAGCAAGCATTAATGGTGAGCGTGATGACTTCGATCCACCCGTGTTTGTGGAACACAACATTTCGCTTGTATCAGGCTCTTTATGTTTGAGAACAAGTAAATCAATCTGTGATATTGTGGTTGTTGTCCTACGTCCACCATTTAGACTCATGTTTCCAATTTTATGCGGGATTAGCTATTATAATAAGACAACCTATAACATGCTAACTCGGACATTTACACCAGGACTTTGTGGCTGGCATTGATTGAAAAAAATAAAAGAAGATCAGGAATAAAAGATATAATTAGTAGTTTTTCAACATTTATTTCTCTTGATGCACTTTCCATTCTAATAAACAGTTTTCTTTATTCAAACTTTGACTTCCCTCCCATCATTTGAACCTACTCCACCTTGTTAAACATTGCAATTCATTGTTATTTATTACTGCATTCCTTCATCTGGAGTCTCCAATCACATTTCACTCTAGCTAGTGTGAATTTAATCTAATAATTTATCATACCTCTGTCTGTTCCGCTACAAAATGTTAAGCATTGTTGATAGTTCATATTCAAGTGTATTTCTGCTCCTCCGCTTCTCTTTCTTTCATAATCTTGCTTTGAGGGCACAGCTATGGAACTTCTGACGTCTGACCTTGGAAAAACGCGTATATCATGTTTATTCCATAGTTCACACCACGCGTTCTACAAATCTACTTTATAATAGCCATAAGCTTAAAAAGTTGCATTGCATAAATTATTAACATGACCAGAATTCCAACGCAGTTATGTCGAGATTGGATCTAGCGTGTAACGTGGACGCGACACCACTTTTTAAAATATTTTTAAGACTGTACTCAGTGTAATACTAAAGCATAAACCTGATCATTTACGCACCATGACATCTGCACGAATATGCTGATATTCACTTTTATTGATTTGATCTATTTAACGATCCAACTTGGGAAGCATGCTGTGAACCAACAATTGTTGTAATTTGTATATCATTCCTGTAAAAATGGCATGCACCAGCCACTGCAGAAAGATATTATTATCAGCGTATGACTACTTATATTATGGAACGTCGACCACATGCTGCTGAATAGAGAAAACTGTAAGAGTAGTGGTTACCAACGGAATGTTCCTTTGATATAATAGTCCGGCTGGCCTTATCTTGGAGATAATGAAACGAGTGAGTTGTTGCAGTAAATAAATTCCCAAAAGAAAAAGTTCTGTAAGTCCTCGACGTTGATGCCAGCCTCATTAGTTTTACTGGACACACTGTGGCTGAAGGCAATCAGTTACAAATCCATACCAGGCCACCAGTGGGTATGCCGTACTACGCGTCCCTTGCAACTACTAACCAGCTTAAATCAAACGATTCTCAAGACATGGGCAAGTTTCCAAATATATCTTCGAACATTATTCACCGACTACTTATTTGACTGGGTTGATATCTTCCAATTACAAAGGCGTTATAAAAGAAAGATTCATCAAACCCCCAATATCTGTGTCCTTTTCAATTCATTCTAGATCGAACATGAAAAAACCCGCACAAAAATCTGTGTAAATTTTTTCGCCAACCGAATCTCTAATTTATAGTACTCACTATAGGAAGCTGTTGTGACGTCACACCCAGGTGAATCATCTGAGAGAAGGTTCGATAATTAACTTAGTTCTGTCCTTCGTTTTATATAATCAATATAGCGAATAAGCTTGACATAGGTAAATCCACGGGGCCCGATGAATTACATCCTAGGCTACCGAAGGAATTATCTAACTTCGTTGCGAACCCTTTAAGTATATGCCTTAACCTATCCATACCGCAGGGTCGTTTACCAAAAGACTGGAAAAATGCCATAGTAAGTCCTGTCTTCAAAACAGGTACGAAACATAAACCTGAGAATTACCGCTCTGTTAGCCTAACTAGTGTGGCTGTTAAAATCTTAGAAAAGATTATTCGGAAGGAACTGTTTAAGTATCTCGATAGAAACCGGATCCTCTCGGAGAAGCAGCACGCTTTCAGAGTAGGTTATTCTTGTCTCACTAACTTATTAGTGGCTTGTGAAAGGTGGTGCGCTCTTAAGGACCAAAAGTCACCTGTAGACGTAGCCTTCATTGATTTCAGCAAAGCTTTTGACAAGGTTCCGCACAACCGGCTGTTACATAAGTTAAGAAATGTCGGGATTGGAGGCAATCTATTTATGTGGATAAAAGTCTTCTTAGTTGGGCGTCAACAAACAGTTCGAATGAACTCAAAGTTATCTAACTGGGGAACTGTGCTTAGTGCATTGCCCCAGGGTACAGTTTCGGGGCCAGTGCTATTCCTCTTGTATGTAAATGACCTTCGTTTACTGTCATTATTGGTCTTGCTTTATGCTGATGATGTCAAGATATGGAGAACGATACGAATTAAGGGTGATAGCTTAGAACTCCAAAATGACCTGAAGAAATTATCTGAATGGTCTAAAACCTGGCAGTTACCGATAAATACTTCCAAGTTTATTGTGACGCATATTGGTCATCAAGGTACGGATACATACAAGATGAATAACACTGAGCTACCTGTTGTCCAAACACACAATGTCTTAGGAGTTATCGTTAGCCAATACTTAAAGACTACTGCACGCTTTCGTGCAATAGCCACCAAAGGTTTTAAAACTTTATGGTCAATACGTCGAGCCTTTGGTCATGTGGATGCTAAAAAATTTTCGATATTGTATACACTGTTCATGCGTCTTAAACTTTAGTACTGCATACAAGTGGCTAGCCCATGCTTAAAAAAGACAGTGAGCTTCTGGAAAAGGTCCAGAGAACAGGAACTAGGCTGATTCTCAGAATGGCAAATCTATACCTATTCCCGTCGTCATATCGTAGCACTAGGGGCGACTTGATTACAGATTTCAAATTGCTTAGTGACAAATTTGCACCTGATATGCCCTCATTTTTCTTGTCTTCCAAAACAGAGAATTCACAAGGACACTCCTAAAAAGTTCACAGGCCAAGAATAAATCACTTGTCAGCTGACTATCGACTTTCCCATCGAATCATCAACGAGTGGAACTAATTACCTCAGTACGTGGTTGAGGCTCCATCCATCGGTTCTTTCAAAAGAAAGTTGGATCAACTGAGAGACCACCATTGCCAAGACTAACATAGGCCATCAGGCCTCCTGTCCTTCTCAAACTGAAACTGAAGTATCACTCTTCTACGTGATCATATGTACTTTGCTACAACATGGACATAGACACTTCAAAACGAACAGTCTACTGATTCTGCTTAAAAAATTGGAAGTTAAAATACACCAGAACTTTTTTAATATATTAGTTAGTTCTTGGACGGGTAGTCATCCCGTGACACAAAATATTAGTTTGCACAGTGCAGTATTGTCTATTGAACTGACCTAGAGAACTTTGCGGAAATTCTGCTTCCAATTCACCCATCTGGCAATGTCGGATCCAGATGTTAAAAAGGTATTGACTAAAACTACCTCATCTTCTTTAAAGGCTATTGAAGCACATAGACAGAAAACTGTTATGGCGAACCAACAAATTAGCGTATTAAATTCTCAAATAGAGTCGCTTAACATAAAGTTCAGGCGGTCACAATTAATTGAGAGTGAATTAGTTACCTTGCCTGAAGATGTAGCTACTTACAAAGCATGTGGGAGAATGTAATTTGCCAAAAAGTATACTATTAAATATGTGAAGGTTCATCAGGAAGACTAGGGAAACTCTAATTGAAGATATAAAGAAGGACAGAGACAAGGTCACTGATTCTATTGAGATTTCTCAGGTAAGATTGCCTTTAATAATTACGTTGCTATAGAAAGCTCGAGACACAGTAAATGATGAGTTAAGTGAGTCTAAAGAGGCGTTGCGTGAGCTTCTAAGTTCAAAGCAGTCCTAACAGAAACTTTACATAGGAACGAGTTGTGATTGTATAGTTTGAAATATATTCATTCATTGCTTTATAAGTGTTTGAATGCTCATTAACTCATCTTCTAGTCAATGTATGTGCCTTCTGCTTGTTATGGTGCGTAGTGATGGAGAACAGAATTGTACAGCTCCTCAGTAAGTGAGAACTGTTTCTAAAGTAATTGCTTTGGGAGCAATCAGCAGTCGTCTGCAGACATATGGTTCCTCTATTTACTGTTCGGCCAGGTTGACTTATTCCAGACGCAATGTTTTTAACCACCGAGTAGCACGATGATAGAGCGGTGTCTAAGTCCTTATGGCATCTGAACCACTCTTAATCTACATCGGTTGGTCAAACGAATAAAACAATCAGCCTTCACATTCTGAGTGCTGTTCAAAGCTAAATACATTCATCTGTGCCTGGTAAATCAGTCAACAACTGGAGCACATATTTAGTTGCGGATATATTTGGTAGTCAGTAGTTACTTGGTTTCAGTCAAATAAGTACTTGACTAGGAATGACTACTTGCTTTTGGAAATTGGCTCCAAATATGTTGAGTAAAACTTTTAGTCGTTTTAATGTACTGAATGTAAAAAACGATTATTTTTCATGAATCAAACTTTGATCATCTTTATGAATAAAAACAAATTTCACATTTGTGACAATTGTATAAACCATCCATAAATATTGAGTGTATACTTCAGAGTCCATTATGGTAATGTAATCTCTGATAAGAAATGTTTATTCACTTCCTAATATCGGCATAAAACACCGGGTTTCCGTTTGACTGTATTTGGCACAGTAAGTAGCATACTATAATAGCTCGTTCAGACACAATACAATATGAAGAAACTAGTCCGTAAACCCACCACCAAATACTTTCAGTTAACCTCGTCTCTGTGTAGTGGTGGTTAAATGTAGTTGACAAAAAGCCATTGACCAACGTTTCGTGCTGTTTAGGACCCGGAGATGTATTCACGATTGATTGATCACGGGGCAACGGCTAGTATCAGTTCTGATCGAATTCTATCGAGTAGGTTGGGAATCCACCAGGGAGCATCAGTCTCCTCAACATTACGGGTACGTATTCCTGACGAGTGCCAAGTTGCGCGAAATATAGGTTGAGGGTTTCATGTTGACTGCCTCTTACCATTACTTTATATCTCAACGTAGTGGACTCAGTTTTGAGTCATTTATGCTAGGAGCCATATTGCCAATCGATCGATAGGACTCGATCAGAGGAACTAAACAAACACAATCCTAGTCACTACTCACTGATCAATCGATTTTAAGGCTTCTTTGTATAACTAAGCAACGGCTTTTTATCCCGAATAGCGGAAAGCATCATATTCAATACATAATTAGTCTAATCGCCTGAAAGCTACAGATTTATAAGATGTAGGTATATCTTTTCTGATTTGATCAATAGTCCAAGAAAAAAAACTTCCAAGACAGTTCGTCAAGTATGTCGACTGCCTAGACTGGCACACGCTCTTTTAGAAGGTAATATCAACATCCCGGCAGTGGACTAATCCGGACTAATTCTTGACGTCATTTGAAGAGAAATCTCTGGTGATTCCTGTTATATTGTTTGATCTTTAGGTGTGCCTTGATGTTAATCTTTTTATATCTGAAGAGCGTTCTGTTTGCATCATGTAACGTACACATGCATAGTGATATTACGTATCTTGAGACACTATCAAATACAACATGTACGCAACATATCTAGTGGTCTTTTGGGCGTCACTGAATACAAACCACTACTAAAGAATACAGGACTGTCCCTCTTACTGCTGCTTCTACTTCAACCATAACGTGCATGAAATAGAAGGGGAGTTGGTATGCATCCGTAGCTATGATGCTTAGGATAGTCTACTTACACACACATCACCAACATGGACTGCCCTATTACCGTACTACTGTGTGCCTTTCACTTTTCATTCGTTCAGCCTTTTAATAAGCTGATTCTGTAGTGCTTCTTAGCTGTCAAGTCATAGGATTGGGGTTCTATCTTAATTCGAATTGTTATCGTTATTTTATCTACGTGAAGTACAAAGATAATCGTCAAAACTCGGATTCCAAATGGTAGGTTATGATCACTTGATTCACCCTAAATATACTTTGGCTTAGGAAACAGATTGGTAACAAGTCCTCATATACAAACTCGAGCTTTATTTACTGAGTTGCATTAAAAATTAAGACGACATTGATCGTAGCTATTGGTTACACTTACATCACCACATGCGTTGATAAGAATGATTATTACACAAGCCAACGACAGATATCACGAAAACTGTTTCATCCAATGCAACGGGTCTTAATTTTATCCCATTAAAGATGGTAGTTAGACAGTGGTATGTCAGATAAAACTGACTATAATTGATAGGAAAAACACGATACAAACAATTGACTTAGACAAGATCGGGGAAGGGAATAAATATAGCGAGTTGTCTTTTGTGCAGAAAGAAATAAAATGGAGACAACAATGTACATTTTGATGATTTGATTAATAACTATGGTAGTCTTTATCATCTTCGAATATCGCCAAAATTAAAATTGGATTGTGCCCCAGTACCGGCTTTAATTTCTGCGATTGCATCATCAACTAAGTTCAAACGCTCGCGAAGTTTTCTAAGACGTTGTTCTGCAGCAAAACTTCCTGTATCTGATTCAAATGGTTCAGACCGATCAATAGTTACACCAGGTCCTCTACTACGATGACGACTACGAGCACGTTTAGCACCAAAACTATCTGTAGAGTCAACCATTGTTAAATCAGCTGATGATTTTTCGCAAACACTGACATCTGGTACGTCGTAGTTAACTCTGCGATATTGCTCGCGATCAAGACGAATAATTTTAGGCAATATATCGACATCTGCATGAGGTGATCGGCTCCTGAAATCGATCATTTCTAAACCATGAGGTGTTCTCGGTCTAATTATCCTCTCCTTAGTTGGCATATTGAACTGACTAACGGCAGTACGCCTACTCTCAGGATTGACAACTCTGTGCAGTTCGTCAACAGACTGATTTGGATAGTGAGCACCAGGCAGACGTGAATCTCGTTCCGGACGTTGCCGTACTGGCATTTCCTCGACGCCTGAAAAATAATATCAGATTATAGGATTATTTTATAGAAAGCAGGTAATGAATGATTATGATAATTAAGACTGGTTGGATAGTTAACATGGATAATATCGTCTAAATACCTGACAGTGAGGTGAAAAGCTGGATTTGACAGAATTAAAGTTCTAAATACCACAAAAAAGAAAAGCTAGACAACAGGAAGATTAGATAGAAAAGAGTGAACTGGTGAATCGTTGAGCTTCAGTATGCTAGTATTCATGATTTAAATAGAATAAGGGTCAAAAGAACGAAACTTGCTTTATTACCCTATGAATATGGACTGCTCAGAAGTCATTAATTTCTGCCGTTTATCTTATTACTTTCATCCACCTTCGGTAGGCCCATGACTTACAAAATTTCGAAACAGATAAAATCATCTCGCCCAGTCTCTTCAAACACACCCGTTGTACCACAAGCTAGATTGTTTATCAATAAAAGGACTAATAAACTACACAATAGTTCAATCTGTATTGGTTTACAGCTGTGAAACAACACCATTGAAAGTGGAAGACTTGAATGGATTGCAAGTACTTGATCATAGGTATATTCGAACCATCACTACTCATATACGACAGAACTAATCAACTGGGCAATGGTGAAGTTGACTATGTAGCAGTAAGGGCATATTGACGAGGCCTGAGGTGATTGGTATATACGTTACGTATGCCATACGACTCCAACGCGACGCGCTATGCTGAACCAGCAACAAGAGTGCGTTGGTGAGAAGTAGAACATGAACATATTATACTGTTGAATAAGTCCATCGAGCTATTGAATGTTGGCCTTGAGGTGTATGTACGACAGTGCAAACTTCGTAGTTAAGAGAAGATTAGTAAGACAATAATGGTGAATTACTTAATAAACTGGTTGGTTTTGATACAGATCGGAGTGCAATGGACATTCCTGCTAATTCCTACAATGTTATTGCTCTAGGAAACTGACTGACATTAAACATATTACATAAAACAAACTGAATCAAATATGCTATTCCTCTTGTAATTTCTCATACAGTCCTGGCATCAAAACAAATAGAACAGTGTTGTTGGTTGAGAAAGCTCATATTTTATGATAGCTAAATTTATCATTTCCCAGTCTTATTAAAAAACTATACACAGGGTGAAGCTAGTTAATTTTTTACTACAAATTACTGCATACTATTTTTAATCTAATTACCTCATTCTTATCAACACATATCAATTAATTGTTTATAGAATATTAGTAAAATAAACTAACCAGAGGGATAGGATCGTTTCATAGGTTGTATAGGTTTCTGAATAAATTGATCTGTCCCACGTGTTCTATGCGTAGAACGTTCATTAAAATCTGATTGCTTAGTATATCGAACGTATTCTAATGGTTCACGAGGATCAATACTGTTTGGTAGCATGCTACGTCCTACATGTCGACGTGTTGTATTCTCATCAATCTCTTTTAGGCTTGTACGTTGCGTATCTTGACGAACACGTTTACGACCACTTGGGCGGACACCCTCTTGGTCATGTTTAATGAGTGGTGCTTGACGACCCGCAGGATTATGTCGAACTGCAGCAGGTCTACCTGAGTCAGAACGAGAACGTTCACTAGATGGTGATCTGGAAGAATTAGAAGAGCTAGAACTGCCAGATGCCTCTGAAGAAGCTGAAAATGATTTTCGCCTATAAGTCGGTCTTCCACGCACAGGTATGCTTTCCAAATCTGTTCGTTTACGTCGACGTGGTCGTCTATTCTTGTTCGCCGCTTCAGCTGCCGCTCTTCGTCGCTCACGTATTTCCAATGCAGCCGCTGCGGCTTCTGCCTGTAAACGAACTTGAGTCTGTGTCATGGGCATGTTAATAATATTAGTGCCAACAGTAGAATGTTGGTTAGTATCAATAGGAGACGTATGACGATGCAAAATAGGAACGCCAGGAGGTCGAATTTGTCGAGATTGGGGTGGTGGTGATGATGGTTGGGGTGGCAGGCGGTTAGTAGATGTACGAGAAGGTGCAGCATTTGCAAGTGAGCTGATACCTACAGGTGCAGCCTAAAATACAAAAGTACAACAGTGTTTACAGTTAAATTCATTCTGGCTTCAACTAACTGATGTTAACCTAACAAAAAACCATGTAGATTGAGCCTAGAAGTAATTGAAGGTTAATAAATAATAAACTTACCGATTGGATGACATGACGAATAAAACTATTAATACTTCTCAATTAGATTTTATCTACAATTTTCTTTAGAATTTCTATCTATGTACATATGACAATGATTATTGACTGATTCAGTTAATATTTCACTTTACAACTGTCTCGAATCCATATATCAGCAAGAATGCAGAATTCATAGGTTGGAAATAGAATTTGAATTTCACAGGCACAACTAATTTCCTTTGAGATTGTAGATACATCGTAATAAAAAGTGGTAGCTAACATGAAACTTAGATCAATTAGGGTTTCCATTCCGATTGCTTTTAACTACTACTTAATAATGGAATTATGTTTTATCACATATACAACACAAAAAGCTTAACATTAGATAACAGATCTTCTTTTAGTTACATTCAGTTGTATTTACCTTTTTATATGACCTTATCATATAGCATTAAAACAAGTTATTATTATTATTATTTATTTTGACACATAAACATTGGCACAATGAGGCACCAAATACATATGCGCCACACAAATCTCATTCGATATGTATGAGGGCTGTGATACTGCCCGGGTGACCAAACCGAAGCAGGTCGTTTTCTTAGGAGGCCACACCCGGAGCCTTCGACCTGAAGGTCTGATCCACAAGGCAGTGGAGCATCGTAAGGAGATGCAGTCGCATGGAAGCCGGTGACCAACGATTGGTTCATACGCCATTTGTTCCCGCAGGATACTGGAGCCCATGTGCACCATTGGTTTGGGATCCGGTTAAAGCGCCGGACATTCGCTTTTCGTCCTCTCAATTTCGTAAACAACACCCGTGGTGCGAGAAGGCAGTGAGTAGAACTTCCCTGGCAGAGGGTATATACGCGTGGCCACGTGAGAGTATTTCGAGAGGGAGAGCGGACTTTCCCCGCTCTCGGCCGTACCAGGGCATTTAGGGGTGAGATTGAAGAATCCTTTACCACACACTTAAGGTGTCAATAAGAAACATTTGATCAGTGGATAAATTAGGTTTTGTAGTTTTTATTGTTACCAAATAATGAAACAGAATAGTTTTAATTCAACTTTAAAAATGAACAACTATAGTTTAAGTTAATGAAGGAAGAAATGAGAAAGTGGTCAAATTAGATTCTCTGTGATGATTAGTTGTTATTTAACTTATCTATCTATTAGTTTATATGTACAAGTAACAAGAACAACAAGCACGTCGATTGCATGAATGATATATACATGAGAAAAATTCTTTATGGCAACTTGATAATCAAAAATTGGTTTAAAATTTGCTAATTTATATGATCATTGTAAAACTATCTGAACTCAGTAGCTAAGTGGATAATGCAATGATGTTTGAAATAAATGACACTAGGTTCGACTCTCAGGATGAACATCAACTCTGGGATCCAGGTACATTTAGCTGATGAGCTTCAGATAGTACGAAAATTGCACCCTAGAGAGCCCATTGCTAACCTCTGGTTATGTTAAAGTTTCCCTTGAAATTTTAATAAGATTACCTTCATTCGTGGCGCCAATGTTAAACGAACACCAGGTCGATTTGGTGGAAGTTCACCAGCACCAACAGCACCACCAGTTGAAACTGACTGAGCAGAATTTACAACGGTGTTTGAAAGAGTATCAGTATTACTAGAACGGTATAATGCATCAGGTTCAATGTGTTGTTCCATAACAACTGGACAGTTTTGATCATTAATGGTACTGGTTTGACTGTTGGGCATATCATTTCTTGCGTTTTCTGGATAACTGACAGATTTTGGAGCCCAATTAGTCAAAGTAGATGGTCTAGTTGCGTCATCTGCAAATGGGCTACGACTTTTCTTTCTGCGTAATGGTGACGCTATTTAACGAAGAAATAAACAGGTGTTTTTAAGGCAGGCGAGGTGGTTAAAAAAAGATTATGTATCTCATGATTGGTGAAAAATAATGAAACCAAGGAATCAGAAGGAATCCTGAAGATAATCATAACCAAACTAGCCAGTGGTTCCTTCTTCAGGGATGCATGCTTGTAATATCCTTAGTAAACAAACTAATTAACTAACTAACTGGGAGGAGACAATAGACAGTGTTCCATCACACTAAACTGAAGCAACTGTAATTGTATTTGGATTTTATCTACTAGCAGTATATGTACCCTTCACTTGATGTTCGGATACAGCCGCATAAAATTCAAGAAAACTGTTGTTCCGTACACTGGTACCGAGTCCAATTAATTAGTTGTATCGCTAACCTTACAAAAATCAAGGTCTTTACAGTTTGCCATAAGCTCTGACTCTACTAGTAGTGTTCGAGTAAAGAGCCTTCACAATGTTTATGTACTTCTGAGATACGTCTTTCAATGACAGACACTGCCACATAACCTCGCAGCCTACGGAGTCAAATGCTGCTTTTAAGTCAACAAAGACCACAATTGTCGGACGCCGATAAGTATGCCTGTGTTCTAGAACCTGACGAACGGTGAATATGTGGTCGACGGAGCCACGACCAGGTCTGAATCCAGTTTGATTCTTTCGTGTTTGCAGTTCATGAGTCTTAGGCGTCCGATAATTATCGAGACTAGCATTTCAGATACTATATTAGTTGAACTAATCCCTCTATGGTTGTCACAGAATGATATGCAATCTTTCTTTTATACATTACCACCTCTGAATTAACTACTTTTATGAATCCGGTGTTGATCTTGTTGTGTTAATGAGGTATGGCAACTTGGACCGATGCATATATGTGCCTGGTTCTACGTTGTAGGTGACTGACTGACAAGGTCTTTGAGTTCTGATATATATATATATATATATATATATATATATATATATATGACAGATCAGTTTAACTAGTCAACTAATTCGATCTGTTATCAAAAGAAATTAATCAATATAGGTTAGTTATTTAGAATTTTGTAATCAGTGAAAAGCTCAACAACAGCGGTACTTACCAACACCACTTCGTCTATTCCGTACATGTTGTGGGCCAGGAATTACATCAGGTAAACGTTCATGACGATGAACAGTAACATCACGACCATTCTCACCTCCAGAAGATGGACTACGAGACCATGAACTAAATGTTTAAAAAAATATTAATTAGAATACAGATATCAAATACTACTTTTGTTAATTTAGTTTGGATCGTATAAATTTTTGATACATTAACTTAGGAGCTGATAATCACAATTTACCCACGTATATGTGCTATTCATAATTTTGTCTAAAGTTTGAATCCGAAATGTCTCACATAACATTTTATACTGGATTTTAATATTCACAATAAACTTGAATTAGGGAGTTGTTGTCACATCAAATGTTATCTTTTTAGACTTAGTTATGATATTGTTGCTATAGTACACCCTAACTCCCCTTGGAGCTCTTTCAGAGTTGCTGCTGATCCCAAGGTCGGGCAAAGTAGGGTTGAGGATGGGACTGGAAGTCTTATCCCGTAAATAAAGAACCTTACTAAAGAAAGACGTTTGACAAAATTTTTGGAAATCCAACCATATCACAACATATCATTATTGGAGTATCGCTTCCGAATGCCCTGGTACGGCCGAGAGTGGGGAGAGTTCGATCTCCCTCTCGAAATGCCCTCACATGGCCACGAGTATATAGCTTCTGCCAGCGAATTCCTAATCGTTGCCTCTTCGTTCCGGGGTGTTGTTTACGAAATTGAGAGGACGAAAAGTGAATATCCGGCGTTTCAACCGGGTTTGTGGACATGGAGAGTTCACCTAGGGGAGTCGGAAAACCCTGATCCCGAAGCAATGGTGCACATGGGCTGGCTCAATATCCTGAAGGAACAAATGGCGTATGAACCTATTGTTGGTCACCGGCTAACATGTGACTGCTTCTCCTTACGATGCCCCACTACCATGTGGATCAGACCTTCAGGTCGAAGGCTCCGGGTGTGGCCTCCTAAGAAAACGACCTGCTTCGGTTTGGTCACCCGGGCAGTATCACAGCCCTCATACATATCAAATGAGATTTGTGTGGCGCATATGTATTTGGTGCCTCCTTGTACCAATACTTATATGTTAAAATAAATAAATAATAAACAATATGGATAATTTACCATCGACAAATTGCGTTATTCCTAACTAGTTAGTAACACAGACAGTTTCACGATAGATGTAAAATACAGATTATTTAGAATTGGTCAACTTCGCTTATATTACTAAAAAATATTTCTCAATCGTAGCTGCTACATTACACGGCAGTCAAGTTTATCTGTTTTGAGAAATCTAATCGCAAAATTCAGTTATTGTGGTTATGTTGTATCGAACAGATCGCTGTGGGACTATAAGCACAAATTTCTACTTCCAGGAACAAAGTCATCTAGTTGCTTTTCCTGTGAATCTACTCAGAACCTGGAAAGATGATGTCTTTTCACAAACAGAAAAGATGAGTTGAAGAATTTAAGTCTTACTATTTGGATTTTGAATAGTGATAGTCATATGATACTCAAAAATTAGGCTTAACAATCAGGCCTTAATTGTTTGGTGAATGAAGTGACCTACACATTGATTCTTTTCAATCACCACCGTTCATATTTCGTCATGTTTACTTTGTGTTAATCCTTCTTAGATAAGTATATCATTTCACCAGAGAAAATATATTACTCTAGCTATTACTACAACAATAATTAGTTCTTGTAGGCAGTTATCATATGGTCACACATTTCATTACTGCATATCATTGATTGATTACAAGTCAGGACATTTTATAACCAATTATTTAATTATTTGTTTTTCTGGCTATTTTGGTTATAATGTCAAATTGAGCATTTTTCAAAACATCATGAACGGTAGGTGTCGAGCGAAAGTCTCAGTCACTCATAAACCAACAACACCACTAAAGTTTATCTTTTCTGTAGTTATTTCCTTATATTTCATTGAAGCATTTAACTGTTTTGGAACTCAGAATCCTTCTTATTTTTATTTATTTTGGAGTACCACCTTTTGACTGATTTATTTTTCATATAATAATAATAATAATAATAATAATAATAATAATAATAATAATCTAACAACTCTTAAGAAATATGGACGTGTTGTGGATGTTGTACACTTTTTGAATCACTCAATGTAAAAAGTATAACAACCCCCAAATGCTCTGGTACGGCCGAAAGTGGGGAGAGTCAGATCTCGCTATCCAAACGCTCTCACATGGCCATGTGCATACAACCACTGCCAGGGAAGTCCTACTCAGCCAGTCAGTCACGAGAGAATTGGTGTATTGACTTGTTGTCGGTGTATTTGGCGAAGTGGTGTTGTGCACTAGGGGTGACGATGTGAATAGAGAATGAGTGAACTGTCGATATGTGGAGATGCAATCGGTGGAATGGGCTTGGTGATTTGTTGATGAGGTAGGATCGATGAGTGTCACTATTGTATTTGTGTTTGCGAGTATTTGTGATGTGAGGATGTGTGGTGAGGTGTTAGTATACCGGCACAACGAACAGATAATGGTGATCGTCTGCTGCAACTGTGCTCAGACAATCGTTTATTTTTAGCAAACACAAATTTTAAGCATAAGGAGACACATCGTCAAACATGGCGACCCCCTACACCAAACCAACGATGGACTCAAATAGACCATATTGCCATCAGTCATCGTTGGAGAGGGTCGGTACAAGATTGTCGCTCATTCTGGAGTACCTGTTTGAACTCCAACCATGCCCTAATACGAGCACGCATCTGCTTGCGCCTCACTGGACGCAAAAAAGCCACTCTAAAAGACCCATTAGAACTGAATTGAGTAACGAGAAAACCAAAAGTAGGTTCCAGGAATAACTGACGGACTGACTGAGTCAGTCAGCTACAACGTAGGACCAGGCACATATATGCATCGTTCCAGGTTGCCATACCGCATTAGCACAGCAAGATGAATACCGGCTTCATAGGAGTGGTTAGGTCAAAGGTGGTAATATATAAAAGAAAGACTGCATATAAGGATATAGTACAGGAAGAAAGAATTAGTTCGTAGAAAGAAAGATATGAAGTGATTTTAATCTCTTTGTTTAAGGGAAGACAGGGAGTTTATACACCGACGCCATTGTGGCCGATTCTGAGCCATGTCATCAAGAGTCTCCAACCATTGGTTACGATAGTCACGCGGACCCCAACCAAGTAGTCTGCATTTCCCAACATGGCTAAGATTAGAATTTAGTGACTTCAAGCACTGATGCCACGTTTTGGTTTGGCCGCCCCTAACTTTCTTCCAACCATCTCTAACACCCGTTAGCATTGCACGACGTGGTAATCGGTGTTCGGGCATACGCAACACGCGGCCCAATCATCTCAGTCGATGAAGATTCACAACCTCATCAACTGATTTACCATCATTCCCTACTTACTGCCTTCTCGCACCATGGGTATTGTTTACGAGATTGAGAGGAGGAAAAGCAAATGTCCAGTGCTTTATCCAGGTTGGTGGACATGGAGAGTCCACCTAGGGGAGTTGGAAACCCTGATTCCAAACCAATAGTGCATATGGGCTCCAGTATCCTGAAGGAACAAATGGCGTATGAACTAATCGTTGGTCATCGGTTACCATGGGACTGCATCTCCTCACGTTGCTCCACTACCTTGTGAATCAGACCTTTAGGTCAAAGGCTCCAGGCGTGGCCCCCTAAGGAAACCACCTGCTTCGGTTTGGGCACCCGGACAGTATCCCAGCCCTCACATAAATCGAATGATTTATGTGGTGCATATTTATTTGTTGCCTCCTTGTATCAGTGTTTATGTGTTTAAATAAATAAATAATAAATATATTTCAGAAAGTAAATTATCAATGGATATTTAATTTCCGATAACTATGATTAACAGTTAAATGTAATAAATGATTATACAACACAACTTACGTAATGTATCGTTTTTCTCCAGTATCTTTATCACCAGAAGGAGTTGGTGATTTTGAGGATGAATGAGAACGTTCTTTAGTGTGTCCATCACCTAATCAAATTATATATATACGAATATAATTTAAGTGTATATACAGCAAAATTGTTGAACATATAAGTTAATGAATCGTTTAGGTATTTCTATATTACATTATTCTCTTTTTCAAGAAAGATACAGAGGATATTCGATATAATAATAGTAATAATAATAAAAGTATCAGTGATAGTAGAAAATAACATTAGGCAAAGACAATGTGATTCGAGTCAGTCAGTAACAATGTAGAACTTCGTACGTACGTACATCACTTCTAGTTGCCATACCATATTAGCACACAGATACAATTGTCGATTCAAATCCCGTAGTGGTAGAGGCGGTAAGAGTATAAGCATTAATAGGAAAGATGTTATTCAAGGAGTAAAATCCAGTGAAGTAAATTTGGAAAGAGAAAAGGACATAAGAAATTCAGAAGATTAGAGTTTGGGAGAGCACAAAGAGTGGATACACCTGTGCCATTGCAAACAATTTTGAGTCATGTCATTCAAGGTCTCTAACCATCGGTTGCTATCATCTCGCAGACCCCAACCAGGTAGTCTACACCTACCAACATGGCTCAGTCCACTTGTCAGTGACCTCATGGACTTGTGCCATGTTTTGGTCTGTCTGCTCCTAGCTTTCTTCCAACCTACTCCTATACCGCTGAACATCGCACCTTGAGGCAGTCGGTCGTTGGGCACACGTAACACGTGTCCAAGCCATCTCAACTGATGAAGTTTCACTATGTCATCAATCGATTTGCCATCCTTACCTTGGACAGCCGTTTCGTCCAAACACATAGAATTCCTCAGTAGTTAGCATCCATGATCATACACGCTGGACTCTAACCCAAGACTTAGGTCTCATGAGAGGACGCTTAACATCTAGACCACTGCGCCGAAAGATGGTGTTAATGTCTAACTTCACCTAATCAATGATCTTGTGCAAACCTTTATCCATTGCCTGTGGAAGATAACCGTCTCACACCCGACACAGATTGAACGCTACTGGTTATGGTTTCTCGCTAGAATTCCAGGAGTTACATCTTGAAGCTAGTCACTAGTGGGTTCCACATGTGGGGTCGTGGATTCGCACTGCTCAGTAGTCCCATATTAGGACATAATAGCCGTCTATTGCTTTCAGGTTTCTAATGGTGGTCTAGTTTAAATTAACTCATGATTTCAACCACAAAAATACTTTGAAAACTCAAGATCTAAGAGAAGACAAATAGTGAATGCATCTATTCTGTTGCAACTAATTGTTAAGTCACTCAGTCAGTCAACAACGTAGAACATTGTACGTACGTACATCAGTTCGAGTTGCCACACCACATTGTCAAGTCACTATACATATCCAACCATTAGTTGAACACTTATGTGGACTCTAAGCAGGTAGCTTGCATCTGCCAACATAGCTCAAACTAACAGTTAATAGCTTTATGGACTGATGTGCCACGTCTTGACTAGATAGCCTCTGGTTTTTCTCCAACTTACTCGTACATTAACAAACATCGTGCATCAAGGTATACAGTTGTTGGCCGTACGTAATACACGTCTGCCATAAATATGCTCAGACAACCGCTTCTATTTAGCAAGTATCAACCTTAATCTTGAGAAGACACAGTCTGATATGGTGACATACTTTTTACAATGAATGTTAACTTACACTTTTTTTGAATTCCGTGTAAAATACACTAAACTTGATTATTTTGAATGAATTAGGAATGTAGCATAAATAAGTTAACTTAGTGCCTTATATTAACGTTCACGTGTATTTCCGTAGAGATGTTTTTGTTTTTAAAATCATACAATAACAGTAACGTTGAGTCCTTACTTGAAAGAACCGATCGTCAATGTGTTACTTCGTCTACTTCATTAATTAAAATGAATCTTCAAACAGTTTAGTGTACATAACGTGCAACGAATATGTATTATGCCATTTCAAATCAAGAACGGATTTATTTGTGTTAGCGTTTATAGAATTACAGATTAAATAAATTTTAAAGGTAAATCAATTTGTTAGAAAAAATACACAACTAGAATTACGTGCACAGTCAACTTTTATTTACAAAAATGAAGTCAGTCAGGTTCAAGAAAATATAAAGCAGTTTATCCCATCTGGTACATTCAAATTTTAGCTTTCTGAAAAGTTATAAATATGTATTAGTTGTGAAGAGCTGGCTCATTTGATTAAAGTATTTGACTTTCAACCACTAAGTCATGGGTTCAGTTCGGACAACCGAATAGTGTATAATGCATTTATGTGTTGTGCTAATATATCCTTATCTTGTTAACAAGAGAGAGAAATCCGGTTTTATGATGGAAGCTTTATTGATGATGACCTTAATATAATTAACAATACATTTCAACTTAATCGACTATATATCAGTTAGAAAGATTAGGATTTATGAACTGGATGACTGTCACTAAACACAATCGTAGTAGAAATCCATCGAAAATTCATAAAGTAACGTAACGATAATGTGTTAAAAGTTGATCCTTCATTTACTTTAAGTCGATATTAATTTCCCTTCTCATAAGTTGTATTTGGAGACAGCATATCCCTTAACTAGCCCTTACATTTCGACTTTGAAGCTATATATATATATATATATATATATATATATATATATATATATATATATATATATATAAAACAATGTAGGAATTCATTTATTGAAAAAACCTATTCAGTTAATCAACCTCATCCAGAGTATGATTTTTCAGTATCAGTGAAGTTAATAATAACACTTTTCAACAGCATTATCAATAGTGTTCACCAGGCAAAAATACTTACTTTTCGGTACATTTTGTGCTGTAGTAGCAAGAGATGGTGCTATAACCCAAGGTCTCTTTACTGGTCTTTCATTCGGAAGCGGTGGAACATCAGTACGTCGTCTAAATAAGAGAGAGAGAAGAAAACAATAAACGTTGTACCGATAGGAATACTAGTTAATATGTAGATTAAAGGAGATTAAATGAGGGAAGACATTAAAAATAGGGCGGAAAGACATTACCGAGGTGGTGAGGTAACAGGTGATTTTGATCGTCGACCAGTTTTATTCTTCGAATCTCCCCCGCGTCCTCCAGGACCTATCATAAAATGAGAGCGAAAGAGAATACAAAAATCTAACTATTTAAAAAGTATGATATGATATTCTATTTAATTATTATGAACAACTTAGAGCAGAAGTAAAATAGATGTATTCTACTCCTCTCCTCCTCACTGAAACAGAGTATTGGGTGTAACAAAAACTTTGAATAATACGATTATGTCGTTTGCTGAATTTTATATTCAACTATACTCATGTTACGGATACTTCGAAATTGTGGGGTACTGTTATGAGAGCATAATAATAAAGTAAAGCAACACTTGTTATTTTGATTCGATTTATTCAAAATATTTCAGGTAAAGTTGGTAACCGAACTAACCTCTGAACCAAGTTTGATTACCACCGCTCTTACGACCACGAGATCCTGCCGAAGATTTAGAGCCCGATCTTGACGCAGACGAATTTCCAGATTCTATATTTCTACCTCGGTGCTTTCCAGCTCCCCAGTAGCTGCGGCCACGATCATTCATAGCACCAGATCTTGCACCGCTCGCTGCGGTAGGATAAGAAGAACGAGAACGACCAGACCCAGAATCGGAATCAGACGAGCGAGAATTGGTAGCGGAAGAATGTCTGCTATCATATTTTCCGTGACGTCTAGGTGATCTTAAGTAAGGCTTCATAGCCTTAGCACAAGTTTCTTTCCACGACACTGCGACAGAAGCTAAGGAGGAAATATTTGACGACGCCGCAGAACTACGAGAAGAGCTTCTTGATGAAGATGAAACTGAGGATGATGACGATGCGGATGAGAAACGCCGACTAGCACTTCGACTACGACGATGTTTCGTAACTCTTCTTCGCCATTCTGCTGTGTCTTTTGCACTTGGAGGAAGAATATCCTCCGGAAGATATCGGTGACCAGTTAGTTCAGTGCGTCCAATAATACATACTTGATAATAACAAGGCCATCTGGAAATAAAAACAAGCTAACATGTTATACCGATTAACTACTTAATATGACATTACGAGAAAAGTATTCTTCGACGTTACTAAGAAGCGCATAATGAAAAGAAACGAAGAGTGAAAATATAAAAAGCGAACGTGGTGGTTATCTGACTTTGTTATTCGACTTTCTCACGCAAAAGGGGTGCAAATAAGGATGAAATAAGCAGTGTTCGGGCGTGAGCAACGGTATAAAAAACGCCTCATCCAATTTATAACGGTTGGGAAGTTAGAGATGAATATTCAGATTAAACTTTATACTATCCTTATTCACAGCCTTGAAATATGCAAACTTTTTCCTTGTCAAGTACATGGTCAGTTCATTATTTAAATAATAAACTATTCAAAACATTTTTGGTTGGAAGATCGATTTTCATCTATAGATATGTCTTACTGATACAGCAACCGTTTGTTAGAATGTAGATTGCCAGTTCCGTTTCTGCCACAATTTAAGTTTTCCTTTGAATATATGTACATGGATCAATACCATTTAGAATGATTGAGATTACATGAACTGCTAAACAAAAATGAAACTAATTAGTTTCCGGAGGTAATGCATTTTTAATATATAATCTATCTCTTAGTAATTAGAGCAAACATACTTACAAAAAATCATCTTCTACAGGAGTTTCAACTTTCTTATCCACCGCCGGTGCGGGTACCGGTAAATTCATACGCTTTTCAACGAGATCTTTTTCCTTAGCCTTTAAAGCTTTTGCACGTTCTAAACGCTGTTGATAAGAAAAAAGTGCATGGATTAAAATAAGAATATGAATAACGAGTAGCATATGTAATTTAGTTACAGTACTTACTGTAATCAAATTACCAAAGACGATTTTATGTAATACGGTCAGTTAGTGATACACAAGGTAGAACCTGCTAAATGTGTACTAGAACTGGAACACTTTGTATATAAGCGTTAGTGATACCACTTAGACGTTTGAAATGAAGTAGGTGGGGTGAATAGGTATCATTACCAAGGTTTGATTTGATAATTTCTAATAAATTGAGCATTGGGTAGATTGTTATAAATAAATTATTTATTTATTTATTTTAACACATAGATATTGGTACGAAGAGGCACCAAATACATATGCGCCACACAAATCTCATTTCATATGTGTGAGGGATGTGATACTGCCCGGGTGCCCAAACCGAAGCAGGTTATAAATAAATAACATTTTTGTAATATCCCAATGAGTAGAAAAATCAGATTTTCTGACGTTTCGTGACTAAGTGTAAGCCAATTCTTCAGAGAATAAATAACCAAATTAAACTTGCATTATTTTTAATCTGGTTATTTATTCTCTGAAGAAGTGGCTTACACTAAGTCACGAAACGTCAGAAAATCTGATTTTTTTTACTCATTGGGATATTAAAAATATATTATTTATTTATAGGTGGGGTGAGGTTTATATCTGTAACTTAATGACAGAAAGTCACATTCGTTATATCTATCTCATTTGTAAAAAAATTATTTTCGAATCAACAAAATTTGTGTTCACTTCAATAGTAATAGCCTGGATGGTTGATTCAGTCAGTCAGCTACAAAGTAGGACCAGGCACTTATATGCATCGGTTCAAGTTGCCACACCTCATCAGCACAACAAGATCAACACCGGATTCATAGAAGTAGTTAAGTCAATGGTTACAATATATAAAAGACTACATATAAGGATATAGTACAGGAAGAAACAGCTAGTAGAAAGAAAGATATGAAGTGATTTTAATCTCATCGTTTAAGGGAATATAAAGGGTGTATACGCCTACGCCATTGTGAAAGATTCTGAGCCATGTCACCAGAAGTCTCCAACCATTGGTTACGATAGTCACGCGGATCCCAAACAATTAGTCTGCATCTACCAATATGGATAAGACTAGAATTTAGTGACTTCAAGCACTGATGCCACGTTTTGCTTTGTCCGACCCTAACTTTCAGCCATCCCCAACACTAGTTTCCATCATGCTATGTTCTTAAAACACTAGATTCAATAACTATGACAAGCTTACGTGATAAACACGTCTGCCGTATGAAGCCTCATAATGTTAATCAGATCACATTAAGGACATGTTTCAAAACCTGAATCTAGTAATCAACAGTCAGCCAATAAAACTACTAAGTTACAGTTTTGCATATATAATCCTCAGAAGTTTAGAACTCTCAAGTCGATTATGACGTATACATAAACGGGATAATTAAAATAAATACATCTACAAAATAGTGATTTTCATTGAACGAAAACATAGATGGTAAGTGATATAATAATCGGTTATGTACTTTGATAATTATTCAGTTGGAGGTTAGCAGACAGTTTGTGAGCGAATGATTTATTTAGTCACCATGGCCGAATGATCACTTGATTATTAGTCATTCCCAGTACCTTATTAATCAATTTCGATGTCATAATAAACTATACAATTTTCTATGGAACTGATAGACTTTTAGCATAATAAAAACCTTTGCATATACAAATTACATACAGTCGGACCAGTGAATAAGTAAAATTGATGTACATAGTAAAGCTATGCTGAGACAAGACAAAGAGATTGATGGGATATGCTAATACATCAATTAGGATAAGTAAGTAATATATATGAGATAATCAGTAACTCTTTATATTGCTGTAAAACTAAGTTTGAAGTGCCAGTACGGTGAGGGTATCCTTGTGTCGATCAAGTCAAGACATACGTTGGTCTTTTCGTTACCACATACCCAAAGAAGTCGCAAATATGTTTAAACGGGGAAACAAGTTGGGTGTTGTTCCCTATTTACAGTATTTCATGGTATATACGTTCATTTTAATTTTAAAAAATATTACCGTTTACTACATGAATGTCATAGATGAGAGAGTAGCTGAAAAAGTACAGAGAAAATCACAATGACCCAGGTACATTCTTTCTTTACCCTTCTGAACCAATGAATGAATTATTGTGCCTCTTTACATCAAATATCTGAATTCTTATTTTCATTATTTGTGCTGTTAGATTTTCACTCTGTCGGTCTTATGATTCATAAACGTTTATTCTGTTCTCTTGTGATTAGAGTGATAGACTTCCATTCATTAAGCCGCAGGTTCAAACCCAGCTGCTTTTAATTTGGTATGAACAACAGGGTGGTAGTATCATTAGCTCGCACGACTAAAGTGACTCGGAGCCAATAATATAAATCCGTACTTGATAAATGAGTTGTCACCTTGTACTATTAATGCTGCTTAGAAGGGTACTTTTTGTAAATCTGTACGTACAAGATTACAGGCAATTATTCACAATAAAGTTCCATAACATCACTGACGCTAAAGCTAAACTTACAAGCGTACATATTAATTGAACAGTGAATAGTGTGATGAGGCCTTTAAAAAAATGAAACTGTATTGTTCTACTGTTAGTTATTCACAGAATTCTTTGTTTTGAATAACTGATAATTTGATATTTAACGATAAGGTATTTGTATTTGACTAACAATACAAAACAGTAAAGTGAAAGTTTGTAAATCATCATACGACGAAAACAATAATTGACGAAACAGGAACTAAATAGTTTATATTTTGTTACCATTTTGAATTGAATTTTAGTAGAAACTAGTGCCAATTTCAGGAGTATGGTGGATAGCAACCATGAGGCATTTAACGGTCCCTGGTTTTCAGTGGTTCAAACCAAGGACCGCGAATTAAGCCTTACTTCTCATGAAATTAGATCTGGCCTGAATAACGAAAGACGCTACGATAAGCGTTTATTAACTACTAAAGTACTAAACTGAGTAGTGAGACATTCCACCTGAACAAGCACTGTTAGAGTGGATCCTCGTCAGCAGTCGTCTATGTGCTGTTCGGCTAAACGGCTCCGTAAGAACTCGGAAGGATAGGGACACACGTCGTTGCCTTTTTGTCGTTTCTGCCTACGCTCCCACTGACTGCAGCTCGGATGAAGTGAAAAATGAATTTTACAGAAAGCTAAAGGTTCAGACATAGTACTCGTAGCAGGTGATTTTAATGCTCAGATAGGTAGTTTAAACCAAACAGAAAGGCATTTAGGTGGATATTTTAGTATTCCGACACAGCGAACAGATAATGGTGATCGTCTGCTGCAGCTATGCTCAGACAATCGTTTATTTTTAGCAAACACAAATTTTAAGCATAAGGAGAGACATCGTCTAACATGGCGACCCCCTACACCAAACCAACGATGGACTCAAATAGACCATATTGCCATCAGTCATCGTTGGAGAGGGTCGGTAGAAGATTGTCGCTCATTCTGGAGTACCTGCTTGGACTCCGACCATGCCCTAATACGGGCACGCATCTGCTTGCGCCTCACTGGACGCAAAAAAGCCACATTAAAAAGACCCATTAGAACTGAGTTGAGTAACGAGAAAACCAAAAGTAGGTTCCAGGAACAACTGAGGTCACACTTAGGTAGTTGTGAAGACGAGGCTGACCCAGATGTTGCTTGGAAGGACATACAAGCAGCTGTGGAAACAGCAGTGACATCTATTAGTGACTTAAACCACAGAGTTACAAGGAACCAGTGGATTTCTTCAAGGTCTATCACACTGATGGATTCTCGCAAACTCGTCCCATCAGGTTCCGAACATGATGAAGAGCGACAACAAATCAGATCTAGGTTAAGAAAAAGTCTAAGGAACGACCGTGAGCAGTGGTGGGCAACGAAAGCAAAAGAGATGGAAAAGGCGGCGACTATAGGGAACACAAGACAGCTTTACAGACTAATAAAAGAAACTGGAATTAATAAGTCAAGTGTAAGTGAGATTATTTCGGAAAAAGACGATACTCTCATCTGCTCCCAGTCCAGACGTTTAGAACGATGGGCGGAACATTTTAGAGAACAGTTCAGCTGGCCTTCAGCTACTCTACAACTACCCTCCATTCCCAGACAGGTGAATGGAACATTGAAGTAGGTCCCCCAACTCTTGCTGAAGTTGAGAAGGCTATAGTTAATCTGAAACGAGGAAGGGCAGCTGGTCCAGATGGATTGGCTCCAGAGGTCTTTAAGGATGGTGGTCCAATTTTAGCGATTAGGTTGACTAATATTTTAGCTAAGATCTGGGAGTTAGACGTTATCCCATCTGACTGGTCGCAATCACTTATCGTCCCAATATATAAGAAAGGGTCAAAATCATCCTGTGACAACCACAGAGGGATTAGTTTAACAAATATAGTATCTAAAATACTGGCCTCGATAATTATCAGACGCCTAACTAAGACTCGTGAACTGCAAACACGAGAGAACCAAGCTGGCTTTAGACCTGGTCGTGGCTGCATCGACCACATATTCACCATTCGTCAGGTTCTAGAACACAGGCATACCTATCGGCGTCCGACGATGGTGGTCTTTCTTGACTTAAAAGCAGCATTTGACTCTGTAGACCGCGAGATTCTGTGGCAGTGTCTGTCATTGAAAGGCGTACCTCAGAAGTACATAAACCTTGTGAAGGCTCTTTACTCGAACACTACTAGTCGAGTCAGGCTTATGGCGAACTGTCATCTACTTTTGCAACCTCAAGTGGTGTCCGTCAAGGCTGTCCACTTTCTCCATTTTTGTTTAACTTCATCATAGACCTATTGATGGAAATAACACTCTCGTCGACTGAATTCTCGGGTATTGATCTCCTTCCAGGAGGTCCACTTATCGACTTAGAATACGCAGATGACATAGTCCTGTTTGGTGAAGACGCTGACAAAATGCAGAGTCTTCTGGTAGCACTAAGCAACAATGCCAGAATGTTTGGAATGCGCTTCTCTCCCTCTAAATGCAAGTTGTTGCTTCAGGACTGGTCTGCGTCAACACCTGAACTAAGGATAGGGAGTGAAGTAGTCGAACGCGTTGACAACTTCACTTATCTTGGAAGTCTGATCAGCCCTAATGGGTTGGTGTCTGACGAAATCTCAGCACGGATTCGAAAAGCTCGTTTGGCTTTTGCCAACTTACGTCACCTTTGGCGAGGCGAGATATCCGTCTATCAATAAAAGGACGAGTATACTGCGCGGCAGTCCGTTCTGTTTTAATTTACGGCAGCGAAACATGGCCTTAAGAGTAGAAGACACTCGTAAGCTACTAGTATTTGACCACAGATGCCTTAGAAATATTGCTGGCATCTGCTGGGATCACCGGGTAAGTAATAGTGAGGTTAGACGCAGGGTATTAGGGAATGATGGTAAATCAGTTGATGAGGTTGTGAATCTTCATCGACTGAGATGGTTGGGCCACGTGTTACGTATGCCTGAACACCGATTACCACGACGTGCAATGCTAACCGGTGTAGGGGATGGTTGGAAGAAAGTTAGGGGCGGCCAAACCAAAACGTGGCATCAGTGCTTGAAGTCACTAACTTCTAGTCTGAGCCATGTTGGTAGATGCAGACTACTTGGTTGGGGTCCGCGTGACTTTCGTAACCAATGGTTGGAGACTTGGGGTGACATGGCTCAGAATCGATCACAATGGCGTCGGTGTATACACTCCTGTCTTCCCTTAAACTAAGAGATTAAAATCACTTCATATCTTTCTTTCTACGAACTAATTCTTTCTTCCTGTACTATATCCTTATATGCAATCTTTCTTATATATATTACCACCTTTGACCTAACCACTCCTATGAATCCGGTGTTCATCTTGCTGTGCTAATGCGGTATGGCAACCTGGAACGATGCATATATGTGCCTGGTCTTACGTTGTAGCTGGCTGACTGACTGACCACCTGAATTCACCAGATCGTTACACTTAAGAAGTAGGTAAGATGATTGCAGAAAAAATGATCGACATTAGAAATCAAACGAAAGAAGTGACATGTTAACTTCGCTAGGTCCTGACACTAATAATAATGATTTTTAGACCAACTCGTTTACTAGGTACTTGGGTATGAACAATACTAATTGTGAGATCTAACGATAGTAGCTAGTCAACAAAAGCGGAGTGAAGCAGGACTTCGACCTCCTTATGTGTTGTATGTTTAAATGTAGATAGGAAAAAGACTATGACTCACTTCACGTGCTAAACGCAGACCACGTTCCCAAGGTGTTTCGTCCTTTTTTACTACCACATCTGCTGTTCCCTCGATCTACAAAGATTTAGAAACAAACCATATACGTAAACAAGACCAGCTAAGATACTACAACACATTGTGCTGACCACGAAAGTTTAGAACTCTAAATAAGACGTTTAAAACCAAAGATACATGCTGGTTTCAATACTATATATATATATATATATATATATATATATGTATATATATGTATATATATATATATATATATATCTTAAAACAGCAGTCAAACACTGAATTGATTTGCAAAATAGTAGCTTTGTTCTTCCTAATCTCCCTCAAAGTTACACGTGTAATGACCAGTGCTAATCGGATCGGGCATGGGAAACACACAAGCAAACTAACTAAGTAGATGAACGTTTATAATCACACTAACCAAGATACTACTTTGATCTAGTAGCACTAATTGCCGTGGCTCCAACTTAAACAGGTCATGCTTCGGAGGAAAACGAGCAAATATTAGCAACCTGTGTATGCGTGCTAAAGAAAATGAACACTTCACTCCCAATGATCACAATAAACACCGGTGTAGAATGCAACATTCCGTATTTAGGAGGAAACAGAGACGTCCCATAGGTTCTTATTTGTCATATCAGCTCTTCACTGGAAACCTCTTTGCCAGGCAGAATAATATCATGTGTTGACTAAATCGATAAATAAATGTCGTGATGAAAACCACATATTTAGAAACCAGATGATGCTATCTGTAAAGACATGTTTATGACAATACCACGTAACAGTGGAAATAAAAGATCCCGGCAAAAGACGACTTGATTTATTTGGGAGAGTTTTTTCAAATTCCTAAATAAAATTAGTGTTTATGTCAGTAGCCCTCATAAGACCGAGGCTTTTTGAAACGCCTCCCAATGACGGGTAATGAAGCAAAACCTGCCAAACCCAGATAACACTTGAAAAAGTAATTAGGTCAAACGAAATAAAATATTATATATGATCGTTTTTTTAGTGAAAGATGGTGCTGAAGGATGTGTCTTCAAGATGTCATGGTGGAAAAAAGGAAAGAGAGCATACAAAAAGGGCGATGTAAAAGATTCTAAGCGTGAGCCAAACAATTACCTCATCAATTTCAGACTGCACTTCCCCTTCTTCGGAACTCTGTTCGTCCTTGCTGAACTCCGACTCGTCACTACTTCTCATTTCACCTTCATCATAAGGACTTGACTCAGAACTGTCTGAACTTGAAGAGGAAGCTGAACTTTCATGATACTCTCTTTTATTATTCTTTAAAGAAAGTAGCTTTATAGCAATATTAAAAACAGAAGAATAAATACTTCTGTCTCCCATGGGTTTATTAAAAAATTCTCATCCTCAAAGTCCAGTTGTTCATGGTGATCATTTTCAAGACAATGAAGTGCGGAAATAACTGCACAATACTATGAAAAGACAACAAACTAACCAGCAGGATCCATGGCGCGACTACAGTTGTTTTAGCCGCTCTCATCAAGGTCCATTCCCTATGACCATAAGATAGATATGTTCTTTAGTATCTGTTTTAGAGTTTTAAAAGAGGATTTTTATATCATGGGACTGTTTGGTGTGCTATTAAGTTCCTTGAATAAGACAAGATCATTTTTTATAAGTCCTCTTAAAGAACTCGATGACTTTGGTCTGCTAAATAAGCTTGACATAGGCAAATCAACTGGACTCAGTGGACTGAATCCTGGGTTACTAAAGAAACTAGTTAACTTCTCTGCGAGCCTTTAAAGTATTTGCCTTAATATATTCGTAACCCAGGGTCGTTTACCAAAAGACTGGAAGAACGCCATAGTAAGTCCTGTCTTCAAAACAGGTATGAAACATAAACCTGAGAATCACCGACCCGTTAGCCCGATTAGTGTGGCTGTTAAAATCTCAGAAAAGATTTTTTGGAAGGAGCCACTTAAGTGTCTCTATGAAAACCGGATCCTTTCGGAAATGCGGAATGGTTTCAGAATAGGTTATTCCTGTCTAACTAACTTATGGTGACATATATTCAGTGATTTTTGTGACAACAAAAATAAGAACCACATTTTTTCTCTAATTTGTTACACTTTATTTGTAACCACATTTTTATTCAATATCAGTTGTTTTGCTGTATCACTTGTTTCGATGAATGATATACGATTTTACCACCGCATTGTTTAAAATATAGAACACTGTCTACGCCGTTTGTTCTTCTGTTTTATCGGCCACCGTTTTGATTGAAGACTATAACATCTTATAGGCCTTCCGACTCAACGTTGGACTATTGGCGCGGATTACTATTGTATAATACTATTGGACTCCATCTTCCTCATTACGTCATTCGTGCAGTCATTTGCAGAGGAACACCTGTCAATCAAGTGAACTCAGTTTGTGGTCGTTGTTCTCACGAGGCAGTTTACAAGTAGCATTCATTCTATAGTAACTGTTCTATAGTAACTGTTGTCTGTTTGTTTAATATACCTTTTGTATTGCTAACGGTATTTTGTTACCTTTGGTTTTACTAACGGACAGACATCTAGGTTTCTTTACTATTACCTTTTCTTGATATATCATTAATAACCTAGTGTGACGATATATTTTGTATCAGCTCCTTTTGTTTGAGAACTACCACAAACTTAATAGTCGCTCATGAAAGCTGGTGCGCTCTTAAGGACCAAAAGTTACCTGTAGGCGTAGCCTACATTGATTTCAGCAAAGCTTTTGAAAAAGTTCCGCACAGCCAGATGTTATATAAGTCAAGAAATGTCGGGATTGGATGCAATCTATTGATGTGGATAAAAGACTTCCTAGTTGGGCGCCAACAAGGAGTACGGTTGAACTCAAAGTTGTTTATCTGGCATATTGTACCTAATAGAGTGCTCCAGGGTATTTCCCTTTTATGCAAATGACCTCCTTCGTTTACTGTCATTATTGGTCTTGCTTTATGCTGATGATGTCAAGATATGGAGAACGATACGAATTAAGGGTGATAGCTTAGAACTCCAAAATGACCTGAAGAAATTATCTGAATGGTCTGAAACCTGGCAGTTACCGATAAATACTTCCAAGTTTATTGTGATGCATATTGGTCATCAAGGTACGGATACATACACGATGAATAACACTGAGCTACCTGTTGTCCAAACACACAATGTCTTAGGAGTTATCGTTAGCCAATACTTAAAGACTACTGCACGCTTTCGTGCAATAGCCACCAAAGGTTTTAAAACTTTATGGTCAATACGTCGAGCCTTTGGTCATGTGGATGCTAAAAAATTTTCGACATTGTATACACTGTTCATGCGTCTTAAACTTTAGTACTGCATACAAGTGGCTAGCCCATGCTTAAAAAAGACAGTGAGCTTCTGGAAAAGGTCCAGAGAACAGGAACTAGGCTGATTCTCAGAATGGCAAATCTATACCTATTCCCGTCGTCATATCGTAGCACTAGGGGCGACTTGATTACAGATTTCAAATTGCTTAGTGACAAATTTGCACCTGATATGCCCTCATTTTTCTTGTCTTCCAAAACAGAGAATTCACAAGGACACTCCTAAAAAGTTCACAGGCCAAGAATAAATCACTTGTCAGCTGACTATCGACTTTCCCATCGAATCATCAACGAGTGGAACTAATTACCTCAGTACGTGGTTGAGGCTCCATCCGTCGACTCTTTCAAGAGAATGTTGGATCAACTGGGAGACCATCATTGCCAGGACTAACACAGACCATCAGGCCTCCTGTCCTTCTCAAACTGCAACTGAAGCTTTTACTTATCTCAATATCTTCCAAAATACAAGGACTCCAATTGTAGAATATAGCAGTAGTCATATTATTTTTCTGATTTGTCATCATTTAAACGTTTTTGTACACCTTATCTACGCACTAAAAATATGTTGATGTAGAAGGACAACTGTGGTACTTCATACAGGTCTGATAAATACATATAAATGTATGTCTATACTAAGATACGATACTTGATTGGGCATGTGACTACCAAGTGTGACGATTCAATTTTATTGATTAACTTGTGCTCAGCTGCGTTATTGATTCGGACACCTCATACGCGAATCCTCGTAAAATTCCCTGATGGTTGTAAAGATGCCACAAGTATACAGAGTTTGATAGCGCTCTAGCAAGTAACATCTTTGCAATTGAAACAAGCGAACCCAGCCAAATCGAAAGTCGGAAGTGAAGAAGTTCGAAGGTATGTTTGAAAGGCTATAGATATATCAAGAAGTGATCAGTCTAAGCTGGCTAGCGGTTGTAGGAGATGTAATGTACGGCTTGCTCACAAGTGACCTGGTACTGATGCGTGACCGAGAGCATTGGACTATATGATTCCATTAAAATTAGTGCAGTCAGCATCAAATGTCGATGACAACAGAATTATTGATTTGGAGGGGTTTATTTGCCACTAAAGTTGCCTGTCTATTTGACCATCTGCTATCATATTCCACCATTACGCTGATGCATAAATACTAGGGATAAAGTGATTAGCTGATACGCCGAATAGTTTGGATTCATTCTACTATAACGTGCGTCCTTTCATACCAACATGGCTTCGTTGATATATCATCAGTAATCGAGAATATTCACTTTTCCACAACTATATTGCAGCATTTTGACACTTCCGAGAATGCGATTTTGGTCTTCACCTTGCTGACAGACTGCCACGATAACGAATCTGACAATAATTGGACCAACGTCGAATCGCTGTGAGGTAAATCTAGTGGTCTTTTTCAACTTCGTTTTACCTAGTTGCTACAAACTCAGGAATTACGGATACGTTACTGGATCCACATGGAGTTGCTTGCCCAGAAGGTCAAAGGTAACGTTGTAGTTTTAAATGTCATTCAGGTTTTATCTTCGCGGGGCGTATATCCACTTATCTCTGCTTTCTCTTTTTTCGTAACTTTCGTCTTGTTTATTTTCTCCTTAAATTGTCTCACATTATAATTTTCGTCTATTGAGTAAAGTGCAGAATAATAGCGTTGCCAACAGTAATATATTTCTGCAAGGACAGGTACACACCACTTTTTACGGACATGATCTACAATCCACAACGTTTGTTGTTACACAGTATGCATGTTGAATAAATACAGTCTATAAAATTGAATATCAGTTCATTCCTTCAGGTAGACTGAGTAATCTTCAAAATATTCCCAAAATGGCTTCGCGTCCACGTTACATACCGGATCCAATCTCGTCATTGTCGCTATTTTTTTATTATTATTATTATAAGAAGCTCTATTCAACATTATACTTTTCGTACAACATAGAATTCTCAGCATAAAGTATTTCAGCAAGTTTCTTTTTCTTATATCTTGATCGATTGTGACGATAAATTTCGAATGATGACCAGTTAGATGTTAGGAATTCGATAATCCGCATTTGATTAATGTTCGTTCGTTTCAATGCATATTGCCAGCCACCAAGATGTCGCTTATTGTACCTTTCTGTATCCCGTATAGCGAAAGGTTGTAAGCTTTTCATAAACGCGCCCGAATAGATTGTGAGCACAATAGACATATTGATATGCTAAAACGAACAACAAAACAGATAACTTGAAGAAATATATAGATCGAAGGAACAGGTAGCCCAGATATTCAAGCAGGCCGCCGGTGTACTAATACAAGGACAACTAGCAGAAGTATATACTAAGTCAAAAATCCTTGTTTTTAGCTCCTGGATTGTGGGAAAGCTCAGGACGACACCAAGTGAAGAACCTCATGTGTGAAACGTTAGCCACTCGACTCACACTAAAACTGAGTTTCCAACTAAGTAACCAGGATCATATTTCTTCTAACACTCTGCTCTTTTTAAAACTAGTAGCCAAAGGAGAAATATGGGGAAAGACGTTCAAAATTGTCCACAACACTCCCTACTGAGGCTAAGCGATACAAAGATGATTATTGTGTCCCGTGCTCGTCGCTCATTGAAACCAGCGACTCATCAGCGGAAAGGAATTTTAGTGGATGGGTTCACTGTTGTTACAGAGTTGGAAATATTTGACTGGTTAAAAGCTGTCACAGTTGATAAAACTAATCCCACCGTGTGTTTGTATGCATTTGTTTCACTCAAATCTTGAACTTGTTTGTTTATAACGTTGGCTTCAAACATTTTGTTTTGGTATTTTAGAAGCTTTGCTCCGGAAACCCTAAATTGAAGGTTTGTTTCGTAATTGTTATAATAATTATTAGAGCAACGTATTATTATACATTATATATATTATATATTATTATATTATTATTATAATTTGTGGATAAACTTTGGTACCTGGATTGGGACTTAGCTGTGCAGTTATTTGGGGTCGTAACTATCGAACAGATCAATCTACAGTGCATCAATAACAGAAGAGAGCAAACTCTGGACATAACTGTCGTTGTGACACCGCGGTACCTAAATAGTATCACAGGTTTCTGTTAAGTCACCCCTGTCTGTAGTCTTGCTATGTCCACCTACAATGTAGAAGAAATACATGGATTGAACCGATAAATGA